TACCCAGCAATTACACTTTTCTACAGGTAAACGGTTCTACATTAATTATTCTGATCTTTCTATAATTATCTAAGGTCAATTATGGGACTATTTGTTTAATCTTATCAGTTTATTATTTTATTTCCTAATTTAGCGGTGCGGGTATTACACAAGGGTTCTCGAAGAGTTCCTCTGCCCCAAACTCACTTCGGTATAATAGTATAAAATAACAGTTCAATAATATAACCATAATCTTATGATGCAACAACATATATATATATATGTTACATGTGTGCTAACAAGTCTACTGGCCAGAGATCGCATGGTTTACTCAAGTCTGTTATGCACATAAGAAGCATAAGGAATCTACCTTATATCCACACTCATGGATTACCATCTCGTGCAGCTCCACACTACACTCAGGGATTACCATCTCTTGTGTTATACACCACATAACATACATATATAAGAGTGCATCATTTCATCATCTCAAATAACAGATAAGGACATATACCATATAAAACTACCATCCCCCGTCTTGGAGTATGGTGGAACAAATAGAGATTAACCCTGAGAACACGGAACTTACTTGTAAATGCTAAGTGTCCATCCCAACCATGGGGTACAAGTCCAAACACCAACTCAACAACCAGCAGTGTCACAATCTGTTTCCACAATATAAAAATCGTCAACAAACATATCCTAAACCCTTAAGTCAAATGGGACACTATTTCTTTTCATTTCGCGTATGTAGGCTTCTCTCAAAGCCTCTAAGCACAAACCGTCTTTACCATTTTTAAAACATCCATTGCAAATCTTTACCATAAATGCTAACATTTTACTATGTTAAAATACACATCCTAAGCTTTCCAACGACATATTATATGTCTCATTTGGAGTTGTATAACTCCGGTTATATTTTTTGCAAAGTTCCTACAGCAAACTGAATTTCAAGCAATGGGGTTTCATTTTCAAACATGAACTGCCATCAATTCACTTATCCATTGGATCTGAAAATTATAGGTTTGTATCACTATGTGTTAGCTTCGCATAGGTTCAAATCTCACTCAATTTGGAGCTCTATATCTCGAGATATCGCGCTTTTACTAAACTAGATCCCTGCTGTCTCAAAGAGTATTTGATTACTGCGTTTGTTCAGAAAGTATTCGAATCCTGCCCGAAAAGTATTTGAATACTTCTTCGACAGAATGCATAAAACTAAGTTTTTAAGGTGTAATTGACCTCCAACAATCTCCTAAACTTGTTTACTCATTTAATTAACATATTAACACGTTTTAAACACACACAAAAACTCAATACTCAACCTTTAACCTAAATTATACTTTCTATCATGAAGAACAAAGGGAAGGTTGAGCTTTTTGACCTTTGAAGCTCCACACAAGATGAACAAGGTGATCCATGCCTTCAACAATGGAATGATCCCACTTTTACTCCATATGGCAGAAATGAAAATCACTCAAGATGATGTTTTTCTTTTTAGAACTCAAGACTCTAAGTTGTATCTATGGTATAGTGATGAAATCAACTGTAACATATACCAATGATTATAACCAAAATTATGGATTTACACAGGGGATAGTTAAATTTACCTTGGTTCGTTTTAGTTAAATTTACCTTGGTTCCTTTTGACAACAGAAAAAAATAAAGCTTTAGAGGTTGAGAAAGCGCACAAATCCTTCAACAACGAGTTTTTCTTCAACAAGACTAGAGCTTTAATGGTTGGGTGATGTTTCAATGGAGGAGAGGAGGAGAAAGATGAAAACTTTTGAGGCTTTCCAAGAGAGAAAGCTAAGTCTCAAAGAAGACCCCAATGGCAGCCACAATCAGCAACGACTGAGTTTTTTAAAAGCTTAGGATTTTGATCCCCTTTTCTATTTATATTGTCACTTAAGTTAAACTAACAGTATTAGTTTAATTAGTCCCGCTCTTCGTTTAACTCTAAAATTTAAGATTCTTAACCTAGATTTTTTCTAGAAATTTTCATATTTTTATTTCATTTTTCTGAGATACTTCACCGGTACGCGCTTTTACCACACAATAATATTAGTTCTCAAGGCTCCGTTCTTTGTTTCTCTCTAAAATTATGTTTTATTAGCTTAGATATTTTTTCAAGAATTTTCATATATATATTTTCTTTTTTTGGGTCATTCTTCCGGTACGCATTTATACCGCACAGTACCCAGCAATTACACTTTTCTACAGGTAAACGGTTCTACATTAATTATTCTGATCTTTCTATAATTATCTAAGGTCAATTATGGGACTATTTGTTTAATCTTATCACTTTATTATTTTATTTCCTAATTTAGCGGTGCGGGTATTACACAAGGGTTCTCGAAGAGTTCCTCTGCCCCAAACTCACTTCGGTATAATAGTATAAAATAACAGTTCAATAATATAACCATAATCTTATGATGCAACAACATATATATATGTTACATGTGTGCTAACAAGTCTACTGGCCAGAGATCGCATGGTTTACTCAAGTCTGTTATGCACATAAGAAGCATAAGGAATCTACCTTATATCCACACTCATGAATTACCATCTCGTGCAGCTCCACACTACACTCAGGGATTACCATCTCTTGTGTTATACACCACATAACATACATATATAAGAGTGCATCATTTCATCATCTCAAATAACAGATAAGGACATATACCATATAAAACTACCATCCCCCGTCTTGGAGTATGGTGGAACAAATAGAGATTAACCCTGAGAACACGGAACTTACTTGTAAATGCTAAGTGTCCATCCCAACCATGGGGTACAAGTCCAAACACCAACTCAACAACCAGCAGTGTCACAATCTGTTTCCACAATATAAATATCGTCAACAAACATATCCTAAACCCTTAAGTCAAATGGGACACTATTTCTTTTCATTTCGCGTAAGTAGGCTTCTCTCAAAGCCCCCAAGCACAAACCGTCTTTACAATTTTTAAAACTTCCACTGCAAATCTTTACCATAAATGCTAACATTTTACTATGTTAAACTACACATCCTAAGCTTTCCAACGACATATTATATGTCTCATTTGGAGTTGTATAACTCCGGTTATATTTTTCTCAAAGTCCCTACAACAAACTGAATTTCCAGCAATAAGGTTTCAACTTCAAACATGAACTGCGATCAATCCACTTATCCAATGGATCTGAAAATTTATAGGGTTGTATCCCTATGTGTTAGCTTCACATAGATCCAAATATCGCTCGATTTGGAGCTCTATAACTCGAGATATCGCACTTTACTAAACTAGATCGCTGATGTCTCAAAAAGTATTCGATTACTGCGTTTTTCCAGAAAGTATTCGAATACCGGCCAAAAAGTATTTGAATACTTCTTCGACAGAATGCATAAAACTAAGTTTTTAAGGTGTAATTGACCTCCAATAATCTCCTAAACTTGTTTACTCATTTAATTAACATACCAACACGTTTTAAACACAAAAACAAATTCAAGACTCAACCTTTAACCTAAATCATACTTTCTATCACGAAGAACAAAAGAAAGGTTGATCTTTTTGACCTTTGAATCTCCACACAAGATGAACAAGGTGATCCATGCCTTCAACAATGGAATGATCCCACTTTTACTCCATATGGAAGAAATGAAAATCACTCAAGATGATGTTTTTCTTTTTAGAACTCAAGACCCTAAGTTGTATCTATGGTATAGTGATGAAATCAACAGTAACATATACCAATGATTATAACAAAAATTATGGATTTACACAAGGGATAGTTAAATTTACCTTGGTTCCTTTTGAGAACAGAAAAAATGAAAGCTTTCGAAGTTGAGAAAGCGCACAAATCCTTCAACAACGAGTTTTTCTTCAGCAAGACTAGAGCTTTAATGGTTGGGTGATGTTTCAATGGAGGAGAGGAGTAGAAAGATGATAACTTTGGAGGCTTTCGAAGAGAGAAAGCTAAGTCTCCCAGAAGACCCCAATGACAGCCACAATCAGCAACGACTGAGATTTTTAAAAGCTTAGGGTTTTGATCCCCTTTTCTATTTATATTGTCACTTAAGTTAAACTAACAGTATTAGTTAAATTAGTCCCGCTCGCTCTTCGTTTAACTCTAAAATTTATGATTCTTAACCTATATTTTTTCTAGAAATTTTCATATTTTCATTTCATTTTTCTGAGATACTTCACCGGTACGCGCTTTTACCACACAATACTATTAGTTCTCATAGCTCCGTTCTTTGTTTGTCTCTAAAATTATGTATTATAAGCTTAGATATTTTTTTTCAATAATGTTCATATATTTATTTTCCTTTTTTGGGTCACTCTTCCGGTACGCATTTATACCGCACGTGTAACATCCCGTCTAATTAGGAATCTATTTAAATTGCAATTAGGAAAGTGGTAGAGTACTTGCATTCGAATTAGATAAATGTTTGCTTTAGAATGGAGTTAAATTAAATTAGGAAATTGTTGGTATTGCCATGGAAGGTGAGTACCTATTTTAGGCATGTGAAGTTCTAGTTATGAGTATAGGAATAATTTAATTATAACATATAACTATTTCCCCAAGAATGGATTTAAATACAATTTGATGGAATGTTGGAATAACAATTATAATGAATCGTTATTTTAGGCATTTGACACCCTTGTTAAAATTATAGGAACAAATTATGATAACATACGGAAAGCATAACACTACTTAGAATTATAGGAGCACTCATGAAAGGTACGTGAGTAATTTTATTACCAAGAATAAACCCTTAGTTAACAACTAGTGGGAAACATAAAATAATATACATGAGTTAATTATTAAGATAGGAGAGCCTTTGGATTTATATGTTTGGGCCCATTTCATGTGATGGGCTATGGTCCAAAATGCTTTAAGGGAAGGCTTGAATTCAGCCCAAAGATTCCCTATTACCCTCGTCTATTAGTTTATCCACATGGAAATTTCAATGTGGCTCTATTGGTTAAGTATTACACATGGCAACCTGTACCTATCTTATCTTCTTCCTGTGCATGTCCGCCACACGTACTCAACCAGTGGACACTTAGAATTCTGCCTGCAAGTTTCGGTCAAGCCATTCTTGGACATGGGTTCCATTTGTTCATTCTAAAATCTGGTCTCCTTAGCTTTTTCCTATGCACGGTGGAGAGTAACAGAATCAAACCATCCTTCCTAATCTTTTTCCCACAACCGTGAACGTGCAAGTGGAGGGTGTAACACTACAATATTCTTCCTTCATCACACACTCTGCAAACCGTGACCTGCACCAGAATAGAGACCATCACCTAGCTTCCTTTTCCCCTTCCCCCCCACCTATTCGGCCAATAATCAATAATACCCAGCTTGCATGTGTTCTTCTCTTTCCTCTCCACGTCGCGAGTTCAAGAGCAGAGGACAAGCAACCTAACACTCCTTTTCTCCTTAGTCGGCCGAATCATTAGCTTCAAGGAAAGCTCAACGCTGGCTCATCTATTATTTTCCTTTTTCAGCCGTGATGAAATCCTCGAGGAAGTAGGGTATTCCCTTATCCCCTTGTTTTCATGAATTAAATCAATTCTGATTGGGGTTTTCCCTTATATGCAGCTTAAGAACCGTACCATGAAGGGTAGAGTAGGAGGAAAGTTGAGCAGCATCGGGTCACTGTCTGCGTCAGCCGTATGGTACTTCTTGGGTGTCTTACTCATGGACGTAAGTCAAAGCATGTAATCCTTCTTTGCTCTTTCATGATCGATCCTTTCCTTGCATGTTAGGAGTATTTTGGATGCTGGCATTTCTCTTCTTGTAGTTCGGTTCTCATGTACCGTTTTAGGATTTAATAAATGAAAGACCAAACTGAAACCTTGTGAGCTTGGAAATAGTTTATTCATTGTTGGGCTGCCCTTTTGTTTAATTAAATTAATCAGGTTTTTCATGTACTAAATTTATGTATACAGTATGTTTATGAGGCCCTGCTAGCACACCATAGGAGTAGAAAGGTGGGAAATGTGGATAAAAATCATGAACCCGTAAAGTGGAAAATCGTATGGGAAGGCTTGGGAAACTTTGGAAAATCTTCTATTAATAAATTAGTCAAGAGAGGACTGGAAGTCAGAATTAATATTAAGGCTTGCTGTGTTATGAACTTGGAGTTTTGTGCTGTTGTCAAGGGGATAGAAATTAATTGAAAGTCAGAATTCGTTAGTAGAGGAACCTTGAAAACCGATTCTGTATGTTAATGTTGGACTTTATTGTTGTTGACAAGATTATTCTTTTGCATGTATGGAAATCGATGAAGATAGCATAATTAGGAGTCAGTTAAGTCTTTAAATTCCATCCCTGTTCAGCCACTGTTTCTGTTTAGTTGAATAACATTTGAATCTTATGCATGCAAGCCAAACCGATTAGTGAGTATATAGATAAGTTCTTTTATGAGAGTATGGGACTGTTTTGGGGAGGCTGTAACATACACCTAATTCTGTATGTATTAAATTAAATTCATAGCATGTTCATCAATTCTTCTTAGCGCACCATTAGGCCTTGTAAGGATGATTAGGTGATGAAACAAATTTGGAAAACTTAGTTCTGCCCTAACCGAACCTGCATGCACAAGGGGGCTTGGATTTTATTCGCCGTAACATATTGACATATTAACTCTAAGTTAGAAAATATAAATTAGTTTGGGGATCTTGAAAAACCGAATTGTATGTATGGAAACCAAGTACAGGATAAGAATTTGAAGCATGAAAATTTGTTGATAAATTATAGGAATAACATGAGACCAATTCTGACTTGTCGCACATGTAATTAGGTGCACGTGACTCTTATTGAGTGAGCTGAATTTGGTACTGTTGATTATTGCTTGGACACAAGGTAAGTATTAGGTGGTTAAACCTATTGTGACTATTAGTTTAGATTATGTAATTTTTGATTTGTTGCTCTCATAGTTCCGTAACAAGATTCTGTTTGAAGGCATGTGAAATCTGATTTGAATATGACTTGAGGAAGATTCTGCTTTGTATACACATGCTATTTGAAAGTATGATGCATAGTCCATGTGAACTATGACTGATGATGAGGAGCATGAACATCATAACTTTGCATCTTATCATGTGTGTGTGAAGCAAAACATAGCATCTCATGCATCCATCTACATACAGTTTTGGAAACAGAAATATATTATGAAACTAAGCATACGTTTGAGCACGCATCATCTAGGCATGCCGAAGGTACCCGGCAAGAGCACCCTGGCTCCGTGCGCATAGGTTCCTTGGATATTCAGTTCTGTGAGCCAAAAAGAATATCACTTGGAGTTCTGTTAGCATGTGCACCTTAGTGCTATGGACATGCGTTCTGGCGTTATTTACGCGCTCTGTTTAGTACTTTGGCGTTATATACGCGTTCTGTTTAGTACTTGGCGTTATATACGCACTTAATTAGTATTCTGGCGTTATATACGCACTCTGATGATATTAAATATCTGTTCGGAATTTATTCGATGATGTGACAATATTGGAAATTATGGATTTAAATTAATATTGTTGCAATATTGGATTTTCTGTCACACTACTGGGATTCTTTCTCACCCCTTTGGGGCTGCAATTTTTATAAAATTGCAGGAGGACGAAAGAGCATATGAGGACGTGGTTATATGATAATTGCTGTTCATTGCTGCATGCTTGGATTTTCTGCTGTCACTGTTGGATGACTGTATTATTAATTAACGTATTGTGAATTCGGATTATTGCGGAAAGTATGATTTGGCTACTGTATTATGAGTTTTATGACCAGAATGCTTTTCGGAAAATAATTCTGTAAATGTTTTGCGAAAATATTTTTGAACGTCTTGTTTAGTGCTGAATTATAAACTACTTTTGCGAGCACTTTACGAGTTGTCGTTTTGGGGCTACAGACCTCCGATTGAGGTATAATTTATATGTATGGAAAGCCCCAGTTGTGTACTTTCAGATTATACAAACCTTACACAGAAATTTTGAAATCCCGATTTATTATGGTTTTTGCAAGCCAGGAGTTTTTTAGAGAAACATACTGGATTTTTGAGTATTTTGCGAGTTATGTTTCGTGGGGCTATTCTCCTCCGATTCGCGTATAATTTATATGCACGCGAAGCCCTAGATGTCTAGTTTCTATATAGCAAGGAAAATTTTTGTAAACTGCAAGAACCTAATTTATAAGAATTTTTCAAGACAGCAACGTTTCAGGAAAAATAAATAATTTCAGCAAACCATCTATTTTTAAAATGTCCCTCTGATTTTTGTAAGTAACCCGATTTCAATTACCAGTTTTAATTAGCAACATCATAAATGATTTATCAGTATTTAATGTGACGAAAGAACTCTAATTCCGCTTAGCAAACAACTCTCTTGGCTGCAGACAAGGGAGGGTGTTACAGCACGGTACCCAGCAGTTAGGGCCGGCAAAATGGGCTGAGCCCGCCGGGCTGGCCCGCCCCGCCTGCCAAATGGGGCGGGCTGGGTTGAGTCTTTCAACCCACCAGCCCGCCAAACCCGCCAGCCCATATGGGTCAGCCCGCCAAGTTATTTTTTTTTTTTTTTTTAGGTTACCCAATTGTTATGTAGCTCTGTATCTTAGATTTCTCTGCTTGCAAGTGGCTTTTTTGAATTGTTGTGGACTGCTCATACAACACTTTGTTACTTGTTTTGTTATTCTATTTTATCCTGATATGATTTTATTTTTTTATTATTATTTTTGGATTGAAAGATGCATATTAATATGCAGATTATTAAACACTGATCTTCTTGGTTTCATAAGCACATTAGGATTTTATACAGATTTTTGTATGCTTTTATGCAGATTTTTTTATGTGATTTTATGCAGAATTTAATTTTTTGTATTTTATTTTTATATTTTTTTTATTTTAGGCGGGCTGGCCCGTAGCCCGCCAGCCCACTCATAAAACGGGCCGGGTTACTCAATTCAACCCATTTTGTCAAAACGGGCCGGGGCGGGCCAGCCCATTTTGGGCGGGCTAGTGGCGGGCCGGGGCGGGGCGGGGCGGGCTGGCCCATATTGCCAGCCCTACCAGCAGTTACACTTTTCTACAGGTAAACGGTTCTACATTAATTATTCTGATCTTTCTATAATTATCTAAGGTCAATTATGGGACTATTTGTTTAATCTCATCACTTTATTATCTTATTTCTTAATTTAGCGGTGCGGGTATTACACAAGGGTTCTCGAAGAGTTCCTCTGCCCCAAGCTCACTTCGGTATAATAGGATAAAATAACAGTTCAATAATATAACCATAATCATATGATGCAACAACATATATATATATGTTGCATGTGTGCTAACAAGTCTACTGGCCAGAGATCGCATTGTTTACTCACGTCTGCTATGCGTAGGGGTGGTAAACGAGCCAGGGGCCTTTCAGGGGCCTTTGGCTCGGCTCGTAAAGGCCTGAGCTCGTTTAATAAAAGCTCGTGTTGGAACCAGACTTGGACTTGTATAAAAGCTCGTTTAATAAAAAGGCCCCAGGCTCTAATTCTGAAGCTCGGCCTTAGAGCCTCCCAGGCTAGCCTAGAATATAAATATTTATTTATACTTTTTATACTACTTGTAATAACTCTCTCTCATCAATTTATTTCACCACATTTTATTGGTTTAACAGACTTTTTGAATGATTTTGTTCTATATTATGCTATTTGGATATATATTGAATTTATGTATATTTATGGAATTACTAGTATTGTTCTATATTATCCTTCATCCTACTTCACACAAACAAACCCACAAAAACTCATTCGTTCCATTGTGCACTGCTCGTTTGTGTCAATTTATTTTTTATTTTATTTCTTTTATTTTTATTTTTGTTGGAACTTTTTTTATAATGGGCTAAGATAATATAACATGTTATCTACCTTCTCTCACTTTAATTTTTTTATTTATTGTAGACTTTGTAAATTATTGCTGCAAATTGAAAGCTATGGTTTCTATCTGGAAATTGATTTTTTGTGGAATTCTATTCTCTTATTTTTATTCTTTAACATGCTAACAGGCTAAGACAGGCTTCACAAAGGTTATTATTTTTTGTAAATAAATCAGGCCACATGCCAATATTATATTCGTAACAGGTAACAGGCTAAGGCCAGTCGGACACGTTTAAATACAGGCTTGGCCCGTTAAGATCAAAGCTCGGCTCGGCTCGGCCTGTTAACACGTCTAGCTATGCGCATAAGAAGCATAAGGAATCTACCTTATATATAACCATAATCATATGATGCAACAACATATATATATATGTTCATTAATATAACCATAATCATATGATGCAACAACATATATATATGTTGCATATGTGCTAACAAGTCACTGGCCAGAGATCTCATGGTTTACTCACGTCTGCTATGCGCATAAGAAGCATAAGGAATCTACCTTATATCCACACTCAGGAATTACCATCTTATGCAGCTCCACACTACACTTAGGTAGTGTTTGGTTGGGGAGAAATTTTATAATACTAGAGAAATGTAAATACTAGGGATCTGGAGGAAAAGTGAGTTAGATAGGAAAGTTTTAAAAAAGTTGTTTGGTTGGGCAAAATTTTACCAGGAAAATTGAATTAAATTTCTGAATGTGTGTTGGTTGAAGATAAAATATTGATGGGAAAATTTAATGAAATTACGAAACTATCCTCGTAAAACAACCTTGGTTTTATTGATTGTCCAATTATTAAGAGTTCATCACTGCCATATGGACCATTGAATTAGAAGATGGTAGGAACTTTTTTTCCCAATTGAGGAAGACAACATTCCCTATTAGAATATAGAGAAAAGACGCCTCTGTTTCACAAAAAACATACATGGATTAGAGGTGTTTGTGATAAGAATCGCAGGGGTAAACTTGTCTGTGATTAAAAACTTTTTCATTTATCCAGTTTTGAATAGCAATTCCACATCTTCAAAGGGGTTTCTCAACAGTGCACTTCTCTAATTTTTGGTCTCTTCCTCCTTTGCTAGCCATCTGGTTTAGATGGGAAAATCAAGTGAAAACCTTCAACCAAACGTGGTAATGACAGATACCCACATGCAGTTACCCATCAAAATTTTCACTTCTCCCCAACCAAACACCACCTTAGGGATTACCATCTCTTGTGTAATACTCGACATAACATACATATATAAGAGTGCATCATTTCATCATCTCAAATAACAGATAAGCACATATACCATATAAAAACTACCATCCCCCATCTTGGAGTATGGTGGAACAAATAGAGATTAACCCTGAGAACACGGAACTTACCTGTAAATGCTAAGTGTCCAACAAGTCCAAACACCAACTCAACAACCAGCAGTGTCACAATATGTTTCCACAATATAAACATCGTCAACAAACATAGCCTAAACCCTTAAGTCAAATGGGACACTATTTCTTTTTCGTTTCGCGTATGTAGGCTTCTCTCAAAGCCCCCAAGCACAAATCGTCTTTACCATTTTTAAAACTGCCCTTGCAAATCTTTACCATAAATTCTAACATTTTACTATGTTAAACTACACATCCTAAGCTTTCCAACGACATATTATATGTCTCATTTGGATTTGTATAACTCCGGTTATATTTTTCGCAAAGTTCCTACAACAAACTGAATTTCCAGCAATAAGGTTTCAAATTCAAACATGAACTGCGATCAATCCACTTATCCAATGGATCTGAAAATTTACAGGGTTGTATCCCTATGTGTTAGCTTCACATAGGTTCAAATCGCACTCATTTGGAGCTCTATAACTCGAGATATCGCGCTTTTACTAAACTAGATCGCTGATGTCTCAAAGAGTATTTGATTGCTGCGTTTTTCCAGAAAGTATTCGAATACTGGCCAAAAAATATTTGAATACTTCTTCGACAGAATGCATAAAACTGAGTTTTTAAGGTGTAATTGACCTCCAATAATCTCCTAAACTTGTTTACTCATTTAATTAACATACCAACACATTTTAAACACAAAAACAAATTCAAGACTCAACCTTTAACTTAAATCATACTTTCTATCACGAAGAACAAAAGAAAGGTTGATCTTCTTGACCTTTGAATCTCCACACAAGATGAACAAGGTGATCCATGCCTTCAACAATGGAATGATCCCACTTTTACTCCATATGGAAGAAATGAAAATCACTCAAGATGATGTTTTTCTTTTTAGAACTCAAGACCCTAATTTGTATCTATGGTATAGTGATGAAATCAACAGTAACATATGCCAATGATTATATCAAAAAATATGGATTTACACAAGGGATAGTTAAATTTACCTTGGTTCCTTTTAGTTAAATTTACCTTGGTTCCTTTTGATAACAGAAAAAATGAAAGCTTTAGAGGTTGAGAAAGCGCACAAATCCTTCAACAACGAGTTTTCGTTCAACAAGACTAGAGCTTTAATGGTTGGGTGATGTTTTAATCGAGGAGAGGAGGAGAAAGATGAAAACTTTGGAGGCTTTCCAAGAGAGAAAGCTAAGTCTCACAGAAGACCCCAATGGCAGCCATAATCAGCAACGACTGAGTTTTTTAAAAGTTTAGGGTTTTGATCCCCTTTTCTATTTATATTGTCACTTAAGTTAAACTAACAGTATTAGTTAAATTAGTCCCGCTCTTTGTTTAACTCTAAAATTTTAGATTCTTAACCTATATTTTTTTCTAGAAATTTTCATATTTTCATTTCATTTTTCTGAGATACTTCACCGGTACGCGCTTTTACCACACAGTAATATTAGTTCTCATAGCTTCGTTCTTTGTTTGTCTCTAAAATTATGTATTATTAGCTTAGATATTTTTTTCAATAATGTTCATATATTTATTTCCCTTTTTCGGGTCACTCTTCCGGTTCGCATTTATACCGCACGGTACCCAGCAGTTACACTTTTCTACAGGTAAACGGTTCTACA